TCATTATTATTGGAAAAAAAAAGATTCCTTTCGTATTATTTTTCAATTTCACATGAAACCTCAATTCTCTATTCTTCTTTACGCTTTCGTATCTTCTTCTTCTCCACACGCGTCACCCATTCCTCGTACTCTCCGGCGATGCGCCGTCGATTAAACGACGGTGAGCCTGGCCGTTTAACAGCCACCGCTCTTCTTTTCATTGGTTCGATCTCTTGTCTCATTGTTTACGCTGTTTTCTCTACTATCCTCCGTCCTCAAGATCGTAGTCTCGATTCCTCCGTACGATTCGAGGACTCGTTAGATCACGGCCGTGTAACAACGTCGGAAGCGAAGGATAACGGTGGTGGGTGTTGCCGTGGTGTCGAAAATCTGGAGCTTTGGGGTCCGGCGGTGAAGTGGGGGACGGATTTTAAGTTTAATTCGTCGGAGGAATGTTGTAAGGCCTGTAAAGTTATGTGTAGCGGAAACGATGGACCTTGCTTGTGTGATTCATGGGTGTTTTGTGGGAACAAAGAAGCTTGTGGGTCCAAGTTTGGAGAGGTAAAAAGTCTGACCCTTGATTAAGGTTTCGTAACCAGGACAATGCCGATTAAGTGTTCGACGAAATGCTTGATAGAGTCTATCGTTTGGGGTCATTAAAGTTCACAAATTTCTGATGTGATTTTGATTCTTTGGGTGATTAGAGATTGAGAATTGCTGAATTGAGACTTGATATAAGTTCATGTTCCAGAGATTGAGGGAAGTTTTTAATGTGTTCTGTTTTCGCTATGTGCAGTGTTGGTTGAAGAAGCAGAAAGATGTATTGGTGCCTGATCGGCAGGAAGGTGGGCAGAGAGTAATGTGGACATCTGGGCTTATCTTCGGACAAGGCGAGGTAGTCTATACACTAATGTCTGAAAATTACCTCCATTTGATAGCTGAATTCAAAGTTTATGCATTTTATAAACTCTGGAAACAATGAGTATCATGAGTTTTTTTGCTGAAATTGTGTTCTCAGCTTCTTCTAATAGTACTAGTCCACGAAATTACTCAGCCTGATTTTTTGGTATTAATTTGTCTATCTGATTGGATGATAGTAACTGCTCTGTTTCATCAGATTTCATGAGAATTCACTGTGTTCTCAGTTTCCGACTATTCTGCGAAATTACTGTGCCGGGTGCTGTTTTTTTGCCAGCTTGAAAACCAAATCTTTGGTCTCTTTGATAGGATTGTGATGACAAGTCCTCTGTTTTCCCTCTTCTCGTGAAAGAAAATAGTGTTCTCGATGAGTGTAGTAATTACTGATAGGCTACTTTGCTTTTGTTAGGGGATTGTTGGTTTTGAGACGGAACATGGTGTACTTCATGTCAAAGTAAGTAACTTAATGTCTTTCTTTTTGTACTTCGAGTTAAAGTTCCATTTTTTGTTTAGCGTCTTGGAACTGATGCTTGATTTGATGTGGATGTTTTCGTTTGTTGCAGCTACACCCTGAGTGCGCACCTCACTCAGTATACTACATTCTTAGTTTGTTAACGCTACGACACTGCGCAGGTTGCCAATTTCATCGTGCAGAGAACCGGGGATCGTATTGGGACCCAGAAGGCAATCATGTAAACGATGTAAGAGACCTTCCAAAAATATTGATTCATGTGTTATGATCTCAGTCTATTTGATAGACTATTAGCGATGTGATTTGTCTGATTATAGTTTTTCCTTATAGATATCCGTCTTTCATATCGAAGATCAAATGTGCGATGAACTTTTAGTCATTTGATTCATCTGATTATACATTTTTTTTTAGAAAACACCGCCTTTGATATCATCAAATGTGTGATTAATGGTGAGTGACTGCTTTTAGCTAAACTCACATTGTAGAACGGCTCTGGTTCAGACTGTATTATTATGTTTGTTGTGGTTTTTACTGATTCAATTTTTCTTTAAGCTCGT